GTTGGAGATATGTTGGCTATCTTGGGCCTATGTTGGGGAGATTTTAGCAGTTTATGCACAAAAAAATCTTCCGATACAACTTTTTACGATTTTTCCTTCCCGCAAAGCAAAAACCATGGAAAAACCGACGTTTTTTAACATCGCCAAGATGAAATTCTCGGCCGCCGAGGGGCACAAAACCCTATAAAACACAGTGTTTTGTGCACCTCACACCCACGAAGCACTTTAAATTACATATAAATCTGTCGACCGGATTCGACCTGGGGTATACGTGAGGTATACGTGAGGTCCAACAAAAGGGTCGGCGGCAGGGGCGGCGAGCGTACAGAACCTTCGGTTACCAACCGAAGGCCTCCGGCAAGGGAACGTGCGCGTGGCCGGCGCCCGGATGGCCGGCGCCCGGATATACGGGCGCGCCCCCTGCCGCCGACCCTCGGGTCCGGGCCCCTTCCTCACTTCCGGCTCACAGAAGTCGCTGTAATTTACGGTGGCTCGTGTGTGTGTGAAGTATAAAAAGCGCTGTGTTTTACAGGGCTTATTGCGCATATCGAAGTGCGACGAGGCGCAGTTGGAGAAATGCAACTCCGCTGTCTTTTTTAAGGGTGGTGTCGGTAATGCGCGCTGGGCGGACATGCATAATCGACATTTTGTGGGTAGAGGCCCTCCAGACGACTTACATTGCCTAACATATCCTCAACATAGGCCCAAGATAGCCAACATATCCCCAACATAGCCTCCAAGATGGCTCAACATAGGGCCAACATAGACCAACATGGGGCCAACATACGCCAACATAGGCCCAACCTGGGCCAACATAGGCCTAACATAGGCCAACATAGGCTCAACATAACATGGGCCCAAGATGTGCCCAACATAGACCACTTGGGCCCAACTTGGCCCAACCTAGGGCCCAGTATGCCCCCGATAGCTTCACGTGCACCCGACCCAGCCCTACACTACACAGACCCTAGTGGGCCGGCGCCCGGCTGTTAGGCGTAAGCCTTTAAATAATGCTCATTTGATAAGGTGTCATTGATATCATTGATCAAGTGGCGGTCCTGCGATAGGAGCATCGGCCTCTGCAAAGCCCTTCTCCCAGGAATTCTTGGGGCATATGACCAAGACTGCATTTCGAGACCCTATGACACCACGAGAGCTGGTCATGTCACTCACTTTTCCAGCAAATATGCCTCGATCGCACATGAGATTCCGAGACAGTCGACACCATCCAACCACGAGACAAATTTGACAAAGGCTTGCGAAGACCCAATCGATGACAGGACTCGCCAAAGTGGCCCAAACATGTGATCCTTTGAAAGACTCAAGCCGTCATTCTGCAAGTGGCCAAGTCTATGGTCCTACAGCATTTTAAAGACAGCCCTTAGGTGAACTTGGTGGACAGCCCTTAGGTGAACAGTCGGAAGTTTTTTTTTTGCACTTGTGGGTGAAGCACCTATAATCCCTTGACTCAGATGCTCACTGAACACAGCTTTGGAACCCGTCAAGATTGTGACGTCACCGCTTTCTGGTGGGAACAAATGATAGGCTCTCCTGTGAAAACATCTAGGACATGCAAATGGAATATGGTGCAACTTGCAAGCTGCCGCGCGTTGCATTGGGACATGGTGGTTTGAAATCTGATGTTTTGGGGCCATCCCAAAAAGCTGCTTGCGCGTCCATCCCAATCTGTTGGATTGCTTCAGGATCTGAAGATTCTTCATCTGCATATGCATATCACTTTATATAGTGAGATTTTATCGGCCCTCGGAAAGCATTGAAAGCCAGCATCAAGACATGCAAAAGCTAAAAGTGATGTTTCCACCATATCCTGACAATGACAAATGTGCGGCTCCGCCGAAAAAACGCCGAACACTTGAAGGTTCTGACTGCTTGTCAGCACGATGTCCGGAAAAGACGGCAAAACGTCGCCGGCTTTATCAATTCGGCTGTGTGAGGCGCATCGGGCCAATGAAAACGACGCTAAAGGCAAGGGGAGCAATCTTTCCCCGACGCACGTCTCTGCGTTGGCTGCGTGTCAAGACCTTGGTGACAGCTTTGCATTCTCACGCCTCTATCAAGGACAAGAATGGTCGTGAACAATTTGCAGAAGACAATCCAAGACTTTGACCTTCTGTCTTTCTCCCCATTGCAGTGTGTGCACTCAGGGAATGTCACATGGAGGACTCAAACACCCTGTGTCATTGACACAGCTGTGACTTGCATGTGGTTCATTTGCTGGGTTCTTAGGTTCTGGTGCAAATCCTCAATGTGCACATTTGCCTCCTGCTATTCTTGGCCGTTGGAGGCCATGGTCAACAGGCTTTGTACAAGTGGACCTCTTGACTGAGTGCAAATGGCCCCCGAAGAAACGGATGTTTAAACTTCAAGCTTGCACACTTTCAGTCCCCACGACACACGAGAAGTTTGGCTGGCAAAGCTTAGAAGCAAAAAGGCCCATCTTCACACTCCTCAGTCCAAGCCTGCTCACGTATAGGCCGCATAGTCCAATACATTTGTCACGACAGAACCACCAGCACTGCTTCAGAGTGGTCTGGACAAGGCTGGCCTCTTGGCTCTGGAGAGGAGGGCACACCTCAGCAACAGCCTTGGGGATTACGTTAAAGTCAAACCAATCTTTTGGAAAATGAAAAGGCAAAGCTGCACCTGGTTGCTCTGTAAGGTACCCTCCTGAATGTGTACGGCCACTGCTATCTACAGCATGTCGTGCAGCTTGCTGCTGTCCATCACCAAGAAGCATGGGAAGGATGCAGCATGGATGCAGAAAAGACTCCTTGCTACCCCGATTCAGCAGCGATGGGAGGATTCTGCAGCTGAAGGACCCGGACGAGTGGTGCATGGTCCTCGAGATGGGAAGTTTCACCACCACAAATTCGCCAACGGTCCTTGACATGCCAGTTGCCTCGATCAACAAGAGCAAGGAGGCCCTTTGGGATTGAGTGATGTGTGACAAGAGGATCACGCTTTTTTTGGATGCTCTGCGTGACCGTCCAGCAGCAGTCTGGAACTGGTTGGTGGGAGACCTCGACAATGCGAAGGTAAAGGTCAATAGGTGGTGTAGTGTGCCTGGTGTGCCTCTTGCTCACTCGAAGTAATCTTAACCCTCTCCAGGCCTGACGGAGATCGCACACAGCTTGTTGGGTTGCGCTCCCGGTTGCATTACTTTCAGCTCTTGGACTTGGGGCAGCTGACGGAGATTGAAACCATCGCTCCCATGATGCAGGCAGAAACGCCAAAGTCGTCCAGCTGAGCTTTTGCAGCTGCAGCGGGCCTGCTACTAAGCCCACTTGATCATTCTTGAACTTGTGATCGGTCTGCGGGGAAACTCAACCAGTGCTGCTCCAGGGTCCAAAGGAACACTTGCATACACTTGGAAGTGCTGCTGCAACTCAATGCGGACAATGCCCCTACAAAAGAATGTCTTCTGACATGGGTTCAGGCCGTTAACAGCAACCTATTGACTCAATACAGGGCTGGATCCGTCAAAGAGCAAGTCCAAAAAATGCAAAGTACCTACAATCCGATTGCATGACGACCAACGGCTCTGGCAAACAGCGGCAGCAATGACCGCTGCGCTGCCGCGTGTGCTGTGCAAACCAAAAAGGGTGACAAGGAATTGATCCTTAAAGGGGTTGTCTTGGTCTGCTTCCGGTGAGTGATGTGACTGCCTCCCTTAAACGAAAAACCTGCAGGGTTGGCACGTTTTCGGTCAACCTGCGTCTTTGATCTCTGCGGCTTGGGCAGCATGATGTGGGCAGCTTCCCACAGTAAAGTATAGAGCCTGTGAGTCACGCCAAAGACGAGAGTGCGATGTCAGTCAGGCTTTAACAGCGCACCTTCTGCAAGTCACATCATGATATGAATTCATATGAATTCTGCCTGTCACTCAGCACGCCCAACAGTTTCTGGTCTGGTCTCGTTGAAGACTTGAAGACCTCTTCTGATTCGACCCCAGATTTGACACTCAGTGTTCACATTCCCATCCTCTGGACTAGGTTTGCTGCAACGAAACAGCCAAGACTGAATCGCTCAGCAAACTCCAGGTTTCTCAGCAAGGTCTCGCTAGCCCAACCAGTCTACTAGCGGGACTCTAAATAACTCTGTCACAGCCACATTCGCAATGAATATGGGCACGTGTGGCTCATTGCCCTTGTTTGAAGCCTTCACTGCATTTGATGCGCTGGGTTGTTACGTTCTTCTTGACGCTTGATACAAAAGAAACTCTAATTACTTCCCTCTAGTCCTTGGATGTGTTTGTCAAACAGGGCCTAAAAACATCCGTTGAGCAAGGCAGCTTCTGGGCAACATACAATCTAGTGAATCTAGCGCTTCAGTGTTCCTCCTTCGCACTGCAAATCCTCTGATGACTTGCGACTTGCGACTGGAATGAACCAGCTTCGAACAAACGAGGTTGAACAATTTAGCAGAATCACTATGCTTGCGACCATGTTGACTGCTCAAGCAAATTTGGCGCATCCCACTGCACCTGCCCAGCAACCGATTCTATGTTCGAATACCCGAGTACACTTGGAAAAGCATACAAGCGATTTGTTGTTTCCACATGCGAGAAATTGGGCGGTCCCCTGGCTTTTAGAAAGGGTCCTCACACTGACCTCCACACCACACTCCTCTTGAATCACATGCTCACTTAGCTGGCTTAGCTTTTTGGAACCTCTTAGGACTGCGACGTCACCACCTTCTGTTGGGAACAGCAAACGGTAGGCTCTCCCACTATGCACAATCCTGGAAACTTCAAATCGAACAAGGCGCAACTTGGAAGCTGCTGTGCAAATCACGACATTGTCATGGCGGATCCAAGTTTGGAGTGTCTGGGGCCATCTCGGGAGAAAACTCCCAAACCAGCAGGCAGAGTCAAATGCATAAATCGACAGGCATGTCTTGACAAGGCGACAAGGGTCGCACAAGACCCAAAGTATGCAAAGCATCTGAAGTATCGCTCTCTCTGCAATCATTCTGATGAAGCGTCAAAATCACAAAATACAAACTTCTCTGCTGATATATAACTACTGGCAGCTCTGGAATTTTACAGCCACATGAACGGCATATCTTATATCTATATATACCACTCCGTCGTTGATCTCAAAACGACTTTAGCGGTCAGATCGGTTCAAAGTGCATCTTGCAGCTAGATAACACTTGCCTTGACTCAGATGCTCACTGAACCCAGCTTTGGAACCCGTCAAGATTGTGACGTCACCGCTTTCTGGTGGGAACAAATGATAGGCTCTCCTGTGAAAACATCTAGGACACGCAAATGGAATATGGTGCAACTTGCAAGCTGCCGCGCGTTGCATTGGGACATGGTGGTTTGAAATCTGATGTTTTGGGGCCATCCCAAAAAGCTGCTTGCACGTCCATCCCAATCTGTTGGATTGCTTCAGGATCTGAAGATTCTTCATCTGCATATGCATATCACTTTAGTGAGATTTTATCGGCCCTCGGAAAGCATTGAAAGCCAGCATCAATACATGCAAAAGCTAAAAGTGATGTTTCCACCATATCCTGACAATGACAAATGTGCGGCTCCGCCGAACAAACGCCGAACACTTGAAGGTTCTGACTGCTTGCCAGCACGATGTCCGGAAAAGACGGCAAAACGTCGCCGTCTTTATCAATTCGGCTGTGTGAGGTGCATCGGGCCAATGAAAACGACGCTAAAGGCAAGGGGAGCAATCTTTCCTTCAGGCACAAGCGTTCGTTCGACCAAAGCCTTGTCTCCACGTTGGCTGCATGTTGTGGCTCAAGCACCATGAAGCGAAGCCACAAAAGCAAGGACCGCAAGGACCACAGGCTAGGCCTAATGAAGCAAACCAATGACAGCGTTGTAAGAGGTGTCCATGGCTTACAAGTCAAGCTCAAATGTGGGGCGTAGCATCACGCCTGTCAGCTGAACTTTGAAACCATCTCTCCTGAAGCAAACTTATTTCGTCTTTACTGAACTTGTGAGTGGTTCTCAAGTGCCCCCGCTTCTATGCGAAATTATCGCAGAAGTGAGCACGCAGTCTGTCTCAATCCGTGGAGATGAGGAGGAGTCCCCATTCAGTTTCCAGGCTTTAAGGGCCAGCGTGCTCGTACATAGGCTTCAACAAGGAAGAAGGGTTGGTGCAAATGGATACTGTCTGCTAAACACTCTGAAATACCATGAACAGGTCCATCTTCCACATTGTTCATCATGAATTGCAGTGATGAGGCATATGAGATGTCTGGCCAGGCAGCACATTGCCAGAAGTTGTGCAATTGGTTTAGCGCTCCTTGCAACCAGGGAACGTGTGGACATGTTTACACTACATGAGCTTGGGATCTTACTCATGCAACTTGCAAATTTTGTATTTAATCATGGGCGGACTTGACCTTGTTCTGCAGATCTGACATTATGATATGAACAGCATCATGCATGAAAGCTAATGTCATTCCTTGTTCTCTTGGACGGACTCATATCGTTCTGCAAGAAAATCTGTTGCCCAAAACAGCAACATAAATGTAACTAACGCAAGCCCCTTCCTACTTGGTTTCTCTGGTCTCCCACGGCTTAGCATTGGAAGAGCAACAGTGCTTTTCAAATGGCATAGTTGCCCATGTCTGCTTCAAAGACACGTTCCGAGGAGAAAGCGGTTTTGGTTGTGTTCTGTTGCATTTCAGTTGCCCACATGGAGTCTGCCAAAAGAAACGCATCATTCATGCCCGTCCTCTCGTTATTTCCCAACGGTTGCAGTCCACGATGTGAAACAACAATCCCGCCACATACTTGCTGGCCGAGTGCATATTGCATACCAGTCAACATCTAGGTTGACTCGTGTAATTAGGCCTTATTCTAGGGTAGTTAATGCATGTTAATGCCTTGCAGGGCAGCACACGTCAATATCCACCTTATTGGGTTTGATGGTCAAACCATCCAGGGGTTTTGACCCATGTTGACACCAAAAACTCCGTTAGGCGCAAGTTGGCGGGGCTTATTTCTTGTCCATCCTAAGAGTCCATCCAGCTGTGCTAAGCTTAGTCATGCAAATATGGAAGGCCCTGGCACAATGTGCGAAGAGTCAGGACATGATTTTTTGAGCATGTTGCGTGTCCCTTTGTCCAAATAACAGTTTGCTGAAACACTGTAGGCTTATGGGCTTGCTGCACAATGATCAGAAGCTTCCCTAATGTCAGCCTGTGTTGAAGCCTGCATCCAATATCATACAACCATATGTCCGACTTCGTTCGCCTGCGCGGCTTAGCTTCCAAAAGAAAGACACATACGGAACGAGTGCCGCTCAGTCTAACGATTTCAAATGAGCCTATGCACATGCCAAATTCATCTTGCATTCTGCACGGTTTCCGAGATGCTTGTAAAGGCATTCATTGGTGTGGGAGATGTGCCAGCAGCAACTCAGTTTTCTAGCTGCGATGAGGGGACGCATGCACCAAAGCCTGCCTCATGTGAAGTAAAGATATATCTTATCTTTCTGATTATCAAGCAAGTGCCACATTTTCCGATTCTCCTGCAGCTTTGGTGCTGCTTCTCCAAGCTTGGTACCCTTGCCAAACTTATGCTGCGACGCACAGGGTCTATGTGACGATCTTGATCACTTCATGTGGGAGGCCTCCACCTGGTTGCACCTATGTCAAGCGAAAATCAAGCAGGGTCTTGCAGGGCAAACGCTTGTGTCCTGCAGAACACTGCAGCAAGTAACAGGTTGGCACATTGCCCAAGAAATCCTCTTCGCTTTTCAACTCTCAACGTGGTCTAGTTGACTGGAAAACCTTCAGCCTCCATGAAGCGAACAAGACACCTTGAGCATCTGTTGCCTGTGGAAGAAGTTTGAATGATTGGCCACAACTGCAGGTGGTTCCGCTTCTAGGCGGGAGGCCATTGCCATTAGGTTGGCCTTGCTCATTTGGTTCCATGCATTTTAGATCATTTTAGTGTTGAATTTGAGCCCTTCACGACCGCGCGAGGAAATTTGGACCAAAGTCCCTTCTGGTCATGGAACCTTTGAAAACACATGCATAATGACACTTGCGAATCACAATGACGTGCAACAAGTCACCGTCACTCTTCCTCCACCTGAATCATTTCGCTGTGTAGGCAATGCTTTGCTCCAGAAAACGATGCCACTGAGCTCTTTCTGACTCCCTTTAGAACCCATGCGGTAAATGTTAGGCTTCCGCCAAAGCAAGTTTGATCCATATTCAGCCCAAGATTCCTACAGTCGGTGCTTGCAGCACACTTTTCCCAAGGTTCGCATCCATTTACATGACCCACAGCATCTGAATGGCAACACTCAAAGACTCGCCTTAAACAGGTTGCACTCAATTCTTTCAGGGTTGGCTACAACTGAAAACTGCCACCAACAATGGTGGATAGATGGCCATCTCCGGGGCTGGGGATCCTCAAGTTGTGGATCCCAGAATGGAACCAACTCTGCTCCCCTGCCTCTGTTCCCAAGCGCTTCGCAAGAAGTTCAAAGGACGCGGCTTGTTGATTGGCGTTCTTTACAGTAGTGGCTGCATGACAGCGGTTTCGAACAAGGGGTTACACCCTGAAATCTCCTACCCTGAGCGCTGATAGAAGGGATTTGAGTGTAGCTGCAGAGAGGAACGGAGGCACATTGCAGCTCTCCGGTCATTCTCTTCATCAACGAGAACAGCACCAAGACTAAGTAAACAAGTGCTGTCAATACAAGTTCGCCAAGATTGAAAGGTTTCATCTGTACACCTGGTCAGAGTCAGTTGACCAACACTACTGAGCGAAGCCGGATGGCTATGATTTAGCAGCATACGCTGCTTGCTTGAAGACAGGCGCGTGAGAAGGTGCGAGAATGCAACCAAAGGCTCGAAATGAACATGATCGGTGAAACCTATTGAATTTATGATTTTAGTGTTGCTCTCATAGCCATTGAGGCAAGTACCTTTGGGAGCAGAGGAGATTTGGATAACTTCGGCATCGTTGACTGTGTCATTGACACACAGTCGGGCGAAAGGGACAACCGTGGACATATAGAATCCTATTGAGCACCAGTTCTTGCGACAGCTGAGTCGAAGGAAATCCGAGCTTTGGATGCATCTGCAGAGCTTCGCCAACTTGAAACTGTGCCCGGTCAGCTTTTGGGCAACCAGCTGAATGTTCAACTGACACCTTCTAGATCTGCGTTCAAATTCTGTTTTGCAAGCAAAAACGCAAGCTCTTTGTGCTAATGTTGGCTTGACATGGCTTGACATGCTGGTAGTAGCTGGAACTGGTCAAGCTTCGAGGGTTTCCCAAGCGAGCATCAAACAGTTGTATTGCGACTTGCAAATCCGAGCCCCTGAATCTCTTGATCTGATGGCAGTATTCACACCACACAAGTTGTCATCCTTGCCTCCGAGCCTGCTGCTCTTTTCCGTCGCATAAGACATCCTAAACTATGCCCGCGTCTCCAAAAATGGCAATGGAGCAGGACCACGTTGACACTTTTTGGAAGTTGGAGCGAAGCATCTGCTGTAAATCGGAGTGCAACAAATTATAACACATCGGAGTTGGTGACAGCGACGCAGTCTAGGGCTCTACGGCGCTACGCGACTCACTCTGCGGGAAACCAACACAAGTCGTCAAATTTGCATGGCAAATCTTCCACATTCCACTCGGCAATGAACCTTGACTCGGCAGCAAGAAGGCATTGGCATTTGTGGACTGAACGATGCGCCGCACTGAAACAACATGCTATACTTCAGGAAGACCACGTGGAGCAATTTCCTCTGCTTCCATGGCTTGTCCAAGCTCAAGCGTACTCCGTGAGCACTCCCAGCAGTTCTAGTTGAAATCTCAATGCTTGTGGATTGGTCAAGTCATGTCAAGTCCTTTTACTTTTCAAGGAAAAACTCGGAGAATCCACCGAGGCACGGATGAGTGGATGCACAAACCAAGCTCTGATGACCGGCTAGGTGTGAGTTGCAAAGTTTTTGGAGGATCCTGTGATGGCAGTGATGGCAGTTGAAGCAAACTTTGAGAAACATCCTCAACATTCAAAGTGCACCATCTAAATCACAATTGGTCCTGCTCAGGCCCTTCAACCAGCAACTCCTACATTTTCAATACCGCTAGTCGCGGCAGAAGTTATCTACGACTCTTTGACCCAGCACCTGTCACCAGTTCTTTTCATGACTTTCATGGGCGCTTGAAAGCAACAGGATAGTGATAGTCCTCTTTATGTGGCAATCACCATTTACATTTACCCAAGATAGAAATCTCAGGTTGCCACTTTGAAGATGAAAGCTTGGATGACTGGAAGAGCCACTCCGACAAGTGTGCAGAATGCATATTATCTTCTGAGTGTGGAACCAATCATTATTAGCCGCTATGACTATGACAACTCATGAGAGCATGCAGCCTTGTTCTGTAAGACAGCGTAATCTGCACTCGCTACAGCTCAATCAAAAGCCTCCGGAAAGACTGGGCTTTTTGAATGTCGTTCTGATGGCCAAGTTCTACATATCCCGCATTCGCTTGGATGCATACCGACCGTGCCTGGCCACAGGTAGCCTGACTCAAGATGGAAAAGATGCTCCAAAGTTTATTACGAAACCCAAAGCAAATTCAGTTTTGCTGGAGATAGTCCGTTCTGTGGCCACCTTCAGGTTGCATGTTGGGCTTACTTCGGACCATACGTCACAACCTTACTCACCTCGGATATTGCCCCTTGGCACTGGGCCGTCTTTCGTCCAAGGTTGGTCACCTGAACTCTGTTTCTCTCTCAGTGACGTCTCAGCGGACCACTGCGCGGTGTGGGCTAAGCTGAACCAGGTTGAAACTGCACGTGGAATATCAGTTTGCAAGCAGTTCAGACAGCTTGCGCAAACGAACTCACTGACTTAACATTCGCGCTCACACACCAGCATCAATCCACATATGACACTGACACCAGAATAGTCTGTACCCAGAGCCTCGACCAAGCCTGAAAACTAACTTGCATCCTCCAACAACTTTTCAACAATCCAATTGGCCCTTTCAACACCTCAAATGCGCTCAAACGGAGCAAAGGCAGCAAAGGCGTTGATTTTCTTGTTTCAACTTGCTTCAACCTTTTGCAAGTTGACAACTCTGACCAGCACCTTGAAAAGCGGAGGCCACAGGTTTCATGGCTAGGGTTGGGCGGTGGACCCTGTTCAGACAATGGGGTAAGCTGGGATTTATCATCGGTGGTCGAGGCAAGTCTATTCCCAAATAATCCAAGCCTATTGGCCTTGCTGGCTTCTCCTTTTCGTTGCAAATGGGTAGATAGGCTGTTAACTCTTTGTATGCCCGGCACCACCCTGCTTTAGGTGCTATTGAAAAGCGGCTAACGGCTAACGGCTTGCATTCACAAGTGGGCAGGCAGCCTGGGAACCCACTGGTGCCTGAGCATAAGAGTCAAAAAGAAATCTGCTGGGATTCACAGAAGCAAGGGAAAGACAGAACACAGCAGAATGGCTTCAGGCACCCAAACAAGAGCGATGTGCGAATAGCTATCCTAACTCGAATTCACGCCTGTCAGCTCATGTCTTGAGCCTTCCTTGGAACCCGAAACTCGGTTTCTGTCGATTCCAATTCCATGGACCCCCTCCCATCCTGACTTGCATGTGCCCACAAGCTACACCTCTTAGTGCCACCGCTGAATGTAAGACTGTGAGGAGTTGTGAAGGGGAAGCAACAATAAGGTACAAACGGAAAAGGCCACTGGGTGTCCCCAGCTAGTCTGAGGCATTGCCAGAAGTCTACAAACTATGCAAACGGCCTTGACTTGGGGAAAGACTCTACAAAAAGGATCGTTCTTGAGCCCAGGGCAAATGAGCACCCAAGAAGGGCAGCAAAAGGCTACCCTACCAACTTCGCAGAACAACTCTTGGATTTGCAGAATTCAGAACCCGTGCAATAGGCAGTGTGGGGAGGCGCAACAGGCTTTTGCAGGTCCGCATGAAGTTCACAAAAGTCGGCTTTGACACCTGCCAACCAAACTCTGAACTTCAGGGCAAAAAACAGAAAGTGCAAAGATTGAGAGAAAACCACTCTGCTGCTCTCTGACCTTTGGTCACTGGAGGATTGGGATTAAAGCACAAGATTGGATTGGTTGGAGTGGCAAGGAGGTGGTGCTCTAAATGAAGAGTGGAGAATGGCCAGACACACAACATCATGGGATGCCTTTCGACCTTGTGGCCATAAGCCGATCTTGCACAGGAACTCATGCCACAGTTCTTGACCCGTGCCGAGCACTTGTGGATATTGATATAGGCAATGATGGATGGCTGGGCAATGGCACTGCCAGGTCTTTCAAGTCCCATCCTGACCCCATGTTATAGCACTTGGAAAGTAGCGCACAACCCAATATGAGAGTCAAGTCCTTACACAACCAATGATTCACATTTGATTCCCGAATGGTCGCCTTGTCCAATTTCACAAATCATTCTCAAGGTGATGATGGCCATGATGCTTGGTGGTCATTTTCCCTTGCCTGTCCCCTGCTCGTTGGACACCGGTTACTGAAGGTTGACCGTTGTCTAGTTCTCATGCATCGATTCTGATTCTCAGTTTAACAGAAAACGATGGTCTATATGAATGCAGCCCGTAGTCCATGGGGCCTTGGTGCTGTCATGGCCTGTCAGCCTACAAGCGCTGGATATTTACCTTCATTCGGATTGATACCAAGCTCGCTCGCGCTGCTTCTTTGGACTGCACACCTAGATTCCTAGATTTCGGCCTAGAAGTGGAAATGAGACTGCAACAGCACATTGCGGTGCAAATGGAATTCTTTTACTGTGAGTTGCACAACTCATGAGCAGAAAAAGGCCCCTTGCACCCGCCTCAGAATGGAAATCCCCCAAATGGAGCCCTCGCAGTGGCAGTCGGCGCTGAGAGTGATCATCTGATCCGAGACAAGATCTGTCTTCGGGGCGGCTGGAAACATTGACTTCTCCAATTCAGAAAGCGGTCCATCCGCTTGCAAACCCACTGCTAAATCCATCTCTGAAGCCAACTGGCTTCCTCTGCCTCCAAAAAGGAATTGCCCCATCACATGTACTGACTTGGGGAGGACCAAGGCACTGTGCCCAGCGATGGTTGCACAAAAACAACATGAGCTGCAACAAGGACTCTTGGAGGGCTGTATGCCATTGGCTGCCGTTGGTTTGGCAAAACCCCAGTCCAAGTGCAAAGCACACTCACATCCACTCGTGCATCAAATTGCTGACAAGTGGCTTCAGGGTCCTAATCTTTGGAAAGTTGTCACTCTCAAATGGCAGGTTGCTCGCCATGACGTTTTAACGGAATTTTGCAAAATGAACGACAAAGCGCCGGCAGTAGTCTGTTCTTGCGCTAAGCCGCTAAGCTAACAATTCAACATGATTTAACAATGAGAGAGTCAAGCATCGAAGTGTGTATTGCAAAATCATGACTTTCGCATCCGCATCCCTTTTCGGCCCATGCAAATGCGCCAAAGGCAGGCTCGTAAGCGTTTAGCAAAACATGTGGTTGCAGTAAGAAAAAACGCATCCAAATCCTGCCAGCTTTCCGTGCTGGAAGCTAGGAAAGTGCAAAGGCAACCGTGTGGAGAATCGTCTGGAGATCCTGCTGTGTTGCCTTGCAAAGTGAGAACAAGCCCGGAATTTAAGAGCATGCAGCTTCCACAGTGGCGGATGAGTCATTCTGCTAACAGTCGCTGATGTGGACAAGTTGAGTTTGGCCATAGCATGAATTGCAATTGTGCAATCGCATCTTTGTGTGCCCCAAGACTTCATCAGATGGATAAGCTGGGTGTTCTCTTGGGAGCACCTGCTCTGCGAAAACTGCTGCAGTGTGGCTGCGTTCTCATAGCTCTGGTGTAGGGGAACTACACAAGCTGCATGTGACCTGCGTTTTCGTCCGAAAAGGCTTGATAAGCCTTCTGCGGAGCTCTGCTTTGTTCGCATAGGCCACCACGTCGTCGGTGCAGGCGTGCGCAGCCTTCAAAGAGGCCCTGGCTGAAGTTCTGCTTACATAACTCTGCTCAGCTGTGGCATTTCGCATCTGCAAATTGGGCATCAACTCTGGCCTCACAACAGGTGTGGTAGCAAAACAGCATTGGTCTGCGGCAAACCTGTATATACGCAGGGACGGTGCGGCCAGCATGCCAACACATCCTGGTCTTCGACTTGTACCTTGACTGGTCTTGGACAGGTGCCACTAAATAAATACCACCATGGTTTCCATACTACTACTACTACTACTACTACTACTACGACTACGACTACGACTACGACTACGACTACTACTACTACCACCACTTCTGGAGGGGCAATCTATGATTCACCAAAAGTCTTGACACTATCCAAGTCACACTCCTTGGACAATTGAAACTGGTCTATCTGGTCCGGAAAGAGTTTCTTCTCCAGCAGGTGAGAGGCACACATGGCACACAACGCGTTCATCTTGCACAAAGCTCGCCTGCAATGCTGCCAGTACCCCCAGGACACCTAGCAAACGCCAACCGGCACCTTTTGATCTTGATGCATCTCAAATCCAACAAAGTCAAACACACATGAAACCTGAACATCTATTTATCAACTGCACCTCAAAGCCCCGCGTCTCAAGACTTCACTGTCCCTGCTGGAGGCATGGCTCACTACTTTGGCCTGAGAATTGTGTGTCCTCTCGAGTTTCTTGATAACGAGGTTTTCTGACATATGCAAACAATCTTTAAGTATCTTTCAACTGGGCTTCTTTGGTCCTGTGGCAAATGGCGCAGCTTCAAACAGCAACAGTTTATGATCCCTGCGGTTTGGGCCATAAATCGGTTGGAGCATGTCATGCAAGGCATTTATCTAGAAGCAGTCTCTTTTCACCGCTGGTTTCTTCTCTGTAGTTTTTGGTTGACCAGATCGAGCATGCCATCACAAATGATGTCACTCCGCTGCCGACTCAAACCTTGGGGGGGGCTTCCATGGGGTCAAATGCATTGGAGTTGTCATGGGAACCTTGGATCATCGGTGTCAAGAAAACTCAAGACCTTCGGCCGCGGCTGATGGCTGGAGCCGAGATGGTTTGCTCAATGTGCCCAGATCGAACATGGTGCGGCCTGGTCACGTTCTCTGTCCGCCTTGGTCCGCGACAAAATGGGTTGAAGGTGCCCGGTGCGCCGACTGGGATATGCAAAAGGCCTGCAGCCACTGACTTCTGGTACTTTCTTCAAGCCAATTTGGGTATGGCTGGCTGGGTTGTGTTTTGCTGTAGGTTGTGGGATATCCTTCCGGATGCCTGGCGACGCAAATGAGCTGACTTGCGTTCGCCAGTCGTGCAAGTTTGCTGAACGTGATATACGCGACCCATTAGGTGAAGCTGCGCCGCCATGATCTCAGTGGGCCTACTCACTGCACAGCATGGAGCTAATTATGAATCGGGTCTGAGGTTGCTTGTGCCTACCTTCTGGGTGATCGCCCTCGACTGCTTGCTGATTGGTACAAAGATCCTTTGCATAGCTGTCACTTTATGGCCCCGGGTGCTTCATCGCGCCGCGAGGCTGTGATTATTGGCACGTCAGAAACTGCTGGAGTGATGGAGGCTTTGGGTTGGGATCGAGCCGTTGCGTCTTGTTCGTGTGGTCTCAGGTTTTGTCGTAAGTGTTCAGTTTGGAATGAACTCCAGAACAGTGGGCTCTATTGAAACATGGATCAAAGAAACCTTTGTGCACCCTTAAAGCTGTCTGCGGATCCTAGGGGCTTTACTTTACTTTTGTCGCAAATTTCAGCATTTGCTTGGATTTGTGGCGGTTGGCATTGGTTGACAAGACTCTTGTTGATCCAGTCTTTTGAGTGCCTTGGCATTGTCTGGGAAGTGTTTCTTTTTGCTGGGCCTTCCAAATTTGATCTGCGGATTGGCGCCATTCAATCAACATTGGCAATGTTTTGTTCCCATTTTTCATTGTTCAGTCCATGCCTAAGAAGTGACTTTGCTTCAACTTTGGGATTTGTGCCCTGATGCTCTGCGATTTCATGGTGTTCCTGGCGCCTTCGAAAACCAGCTTGTGTACTCGAATGCTCTGCTGGAACTGGAGGATGACGATGCTCTTTCCAGCCCGTGTTCAGGTCAGCTTGACTTGTTTTGCGGCGGACGCTCTGAACCAATCTGCAGCTCCTTATCCTTGGTGGCTTGGAGCTTTGTGCATGTCACTTCCGGAAAGTGTGGTGCAAGGTTAAGTTGTTGGTGGTCTTTCGTATTTTGGCGTGGCACATTTAGTTTCATATTTAGTATATATATAATATATAGTATATGTATATTTGTTTGGTTGTTTATTTGCTTTTGTTTTAAACGTTTGTCATTGCTGTCATTGTGTATTATTCATTTGAAGTGATGGCAAATAGCAACTAGCTTGTGGAGGGCTTCGGACCTGGACTTTGCCTTGTGAAATGAATCTTGACCTGCCTGTGACAGGACCTTTGTGAAGAGTTTTTAGCCTCTGTCTACTGTACCATGCACAAGGTGTCTTCAGATGCTGCTGGACATGAGGACTCTGATGTCTTGATTGATTGGTGCTGCTTGAGGGATGAGGCTGGGCACTCCACCCAAAGTCGCTAATCGTATTTGACGATCTTCATTCCAGAATGTCTATGAGCGGTCGCTACATCTTGGACTTGAGGCAAGCCATCGAGACTACACGTCACAAGCTTGCGACATTCTACAACCTGCTCTTAGAGGTGGCCTTGGTCGATTTGCATGGTTGCACCCCGAAGCTGGCCCATGCAAATGATTGCGAGAACTACAAGCCTCTGCTTGATGTTCAACCAGTTGCCATGCGAATCGCTGCCCTCGAGATCATGCGCCCCTCCGTTGGCTAGCATGAATTTAACTCTCAAGCTTTCAGACCAGATGGTTGGAAGACGCCGAACATGTTGCGACCAGTCCACGCGCGCTCTTGACGAGCGCTTCAGCTTTCGCCGATTTGCACAGCCTTGCGGCTTTTTTGTGTCTCAGACTTGATCCGTCGTGCAGTGTCAGCATGCGTCAGCCCTTCGGGCGACTTTAGAAAGCGCCTGGAACGCTGAGAGGCCTTGCGGCATCATATGCGGCATAACCCTTTGCGTCTGAAGTCCACTAGGTGCATTGTTCGTGCTGGACTCTCTCCTAGCATTGCACAGGTAGTCGGGCGCCCCTGGGGGCTTGGGTCTCACAAAAAAAAGAGAGCTTTGTTGCTCCAAGATTGCTATCTTACCGTCAACGCGACATACAGAACAAACCCTACTGATCTACTGAATGTATTCAATCTATGCATCGTCTCAATTGCCACATACCTGACATACCTGAACTGCAGCAAAAACCTGACATACTCTCAACTTCACATGATACAGTGTCGTGATGGTCGGGCATTTTTGTCCCACTAGGAGCCGTCTGGTGGCTTTTCAGGGCGCCTGGCCATGCACTGAGAACGAAAGGGTATGTGTACCAGCGCATCTCCTCTTGCTTAAACACGTCAAACTGTCAAACTCTGAAGGCTTTGCAGCATGAACCACGTCAAAATCACAATGGCGGCCATGGCGACAATGCCAAGGAACATCTTGCCTCCAGTGCCATCAGCAATCACCAAGACTCTTGGCCCAAAGCCAGTGCCTCGTTGGTCCCGCCACCAAAGGTCATCATTATACCTTTTTGCGCTGCTTCTGAAGGAGACCTGCGGGACTGTGCTAAAACAAGAACAGGAAGGCCCTGGCACTTCCCTTGGCAAATAACACTTGAACAGAAAGTACACACCGCGAGCAGCTGCCGGCCAAAAAAAGGCTATCTTATGCAAAACGCGAGCACTGAAGAACCTTGGCATGAATAAAGTGCTAAGAATCGAAGAACAGGCATGAACAGGCTGCCCAAAAGCAAGCAGTTATAAGTTATAACGGGTGCGAAAGTGGAACATCGTCGCCCACCATAATTTGTTGGGCTCAGCTTCACTTCGCGAGACACGGAACAGGTCTTGAACTCCAGGGCTGCGCAATGTTTCCAAGAGCGTGTGGCCGAGGAAATTAAGATACACATGCCCGGTGTCGAGACAAACCCTGAGTGAGGCAATTTGTTTTGATCAGCTTGCCGTCTCATGGCTAAAAACATGGATGAACAAGAATCTGAAACTAACTGAAACTAAGGCCTTTCTAGAATTGTTGGATGCGAATCGGCAAATTGGTAACTTTTTCAGACACAGCTACCGGTTTGCTTCAACCCCAAGCAACACATGTCGCTCCATGGTTGCATGCGGAGCAAGGGTGCAAGAGAGGGCTGAAGTGTATTCATGCTGATTGAACCTTGTTGGTGCGCTGCACACATCCAGGCAATGAACTTTGCGAGCAAAGGTGGACAGCAGTGCACTAGTTGCGGTATATGAATGTTGCTGGTCTTGGCAACGCAAGTTGAACACATATCAGCCATACTAACAACTGCATTTATTTGTTCTTCAATGAAGGCTGAGGCTGTCATGCAAAACTGTACGTTTTCTCTTTCCATTCAGCTTAAGGTGTTTGTTGTTCAAAAACATTTTCAATAGAAACGCACAGTTGAATCCTTTTGAACCAAATCCGAAAAACATGTCTTTCTTTGTATTCTGAACACAAGACTCCAATGATTCCAATCACATCCCCGCACCGATTCCGCTTTTAGCGCGGAGGTCTTGTCCAGCAACGAATCAATGCGCTCGCCACGCTCGATCACCTGCAAACACCATCTAAAACAAACAAAGTGGAACCACGAGCCCGAACTCACACACGCACTCGAAAACAAACGGCGAACCATTGTTTGACACTGTTGTGGAAAACTCTGGCAGGCACTCTTGTAGGAGACGCTCTTGTGGGACACTCTTGTGGGACACTACTCTTGTAGGAAACATTCTTCTGGGACACTCTTACAGAGCACTCTTGTAGGAGACACTCTGGAGGGACACTCTTGCCGGAAATGCTTGTTGGACCCTTTTGTAGGACACTTCTTGCAGGGACGGTGTGGGACACTCATTCTTGTGGAAAACTCTCGTGGGCTACTCTGGTGTGACGATGTTGTGGGCTACTCGCTCTTGCAGGGCACCCCTGTAGGACACTCTTGTAGGCCACTCTTGTGGGGCACTTTTGTGGAACAGAACACTCTTGTTGGACACTCTTGTCGGGCACACACACACAGTGACACACACACACACACACTCTCTCTCTCTCTCTCGCGCTCTCTCTCTCTCTCTCTCTTAGGGCACCCTTGTGGGACACGCTTGTAGGGCACTCTTGTGGGACACCCTGGTGAAACACTCTTGTGGGGCACTCTTGAAGCCTGTAGGACACTCTTGTGGGACACGCTTGTAGCAAACAATTTTGTGGGGCACTCGCTCTTGTGGGGCAGTCTTGAAGGATACTCTTGTGGGGCACTCTTGTGGAAACTCTTGCGGGCACTCTTGTATAGGAGGCACTGTTGTGGCACGGTCTTCTGGGGCACTCTTGTGCGGCACTCTTGTGGTGCGGTCTTGTCAAACATTGTTGTTGGACTGTCAAGATTTGTCATGTGTATAGGTGCACTGTTTGCTAGTTGAAACTACTCCGCATTACCGTAGCGCGTGTGGTCCAAAAGTCCGCTCACCTTGACATGGTAGCGGAGCACTGACGATCCTGGGGCAAAGCCCCCAGGGGAGGTGCATCTAGGTCGGCCGATCCCGGGGGGCGGTATGGCATGGCTTGTTTTCTGGAGCTGCTTCTGCCTTAGTGAAGTTTTCCTGTTGAGCTTGTTTTGCCACATGGATGATTTTTACAGTTTGATTGATGGATGGTATGACCTGTTGTATTGGGTACAGTGGCCATTCATGGATTTCTTTTTGTCGGTTGAGATTTGGTGCATTGGTGCAGCGTTGTTTGGTTTGGAGTGGACACGAGCATTGCTTTGTGGAGCCCAATGGAGACATTGCGTGCAGGTTGTTTTGACGTTGTCGCAACTAGAGCATTGTCAGTACATTTGTGCATTCATTGGAGTTGCCTGTTTAGCTGCTTTGAAGATCTGCAGAAACAAACACGCGCTTGGGCCTTAGAGGCAAGAGAAAGGTGGTCCATCAGGTTAAGAAAAGGTGGAATGGAAGGTTGAGGAAGAGTCAAATGTTGACAAGATTGCAATCCAAAGGTTTTGCATTTCTCTTGCTGGTTCATTTGAGCTACGGGGTACAAGCTATGGATGCTCAACAGTTCCAACAATTCATGACAGGTGTCGGTGGCATTTTGCAACGACAAGGACAGGTGTTGGAAGGAGTCTCGCAGGCCATTGCTTCCAGTTCCGGATCAGCATCAGCCTCGGAGGCTAAGTCATTGGAGTCTGCATCGAAGATCCTCAAAACACCTGAGCAATTCGATTCAAGTGACAGTTTGAGTTGGGTTAGTTGGAGGCACAGTTTCTTGAACTGGTTGTCGTATGCTGATGGACGGTTCTTGGAATCGATCGAACAGATCGAAAAGTTGACTCCAGCAGAGGGCATTGAGACGGTGGACTGGGGCCAGCAAGAGTGGGACCTTGCAAGGAAGTTGTATGCAATCCTTACATCGTACCTCAAAGGGTCAGCATTGCAGTTGAGCAGGTCGGGGTCTGAGACCCGGAATGGGTTTGCATTGCGGAAGACATTGGTTGACCACTACGCTCCAGCAACACGACAGCGTGCCTTGGCTTTGTCGCAGGCGATTTCGTCGTTTCCTCAGTACAAACAGACAACAAGCAAGACATTGCAAGAGCACATTATGTCGATGGAAGCATTGGTACAGCAGTATGATGCCCTCAATGCAAAGCAATTTGATCGTGATGTTTTGTTGGGAGTTCTGATGCGGTTGTGTCCTGAAGGGATTCGACAACACCTCAGCCTGGCCATCACAGAGAGCACTTCCTATCAGGAGGTGAGAGAACGGATACTAGCCTACGAGAGGAGTTCAAGGCTTTGGAGTGTTGAAGACATGGTCAAACCTTTGAACAAGCAGGTTGACAGTTCAGGTGTTGCTCCAATGGAGGTGGACGCCGTGACTTACAAAGGCAAAGGCAAAGGTGGAGAGAAAGGCAAGGGCAAGAAAGGAAGCAAAGGAAAGGGGAGTTGGTCAGACGCATGGCAATGGACTAGTTCTTGGTTCAAAGGAGGGAAATCGAAAGGAACGTTTTCCAAAGGAACAGGGAAACAGAAAGGAACAGGAAAAACAAAATGGAAGTCGAAAGGCAAGAGCAAGTCGAAGGCCAAACTCAATCCGGATCGGTGCCGGGTGTGCAATGGGTTTGGGCACTGGGGCAACGAGTGCCCGAACAGAGACAATGTCAGAGAAGTGAGAGTTGACAGTGGACAAACAGGTGTTCAGCAACAAGAGCAAAGAGTTCCTTCAAGTGGGTCAACAGCTTACAGCTCAGTTGGCAGTACAACGGCTTCGACTCAGAGAGCAGTTCGACGGGTTTACATGCACCATGTTGGTACCCCTCCAATTCAAACGCCTGAGAATTACACCCTTTCTGAAGTCTCATCGGAAGAGGACTGGGCTTCTTTGAAGTGTCATGTCAGGGCAGTGACATCCATGGAGGAGAGGACGGTTGAACAGTATGACATTTTTGATGGTGAAGACTTAGTTGGTTCAGTTGAGTCCCTAGCAGACGACCCGTTCTACTGGTGGCTCAGTTCAGGTGAGCCGGAATCAGATTCGATGTCAGGAGCCTTTCAGAAGCCAGAGACTTTGCATGTAAGGATGGTAGAAGCTGAAAATGAGCATGAATGGATTGTGCTTGACTCAGGCGCAAATGTTTCGCTATTGCCACACAGGTGCGTCGCTGGATATGATATCCCTTCGCCCAACATCCAACTCGAGGACGCTCAAGGCAATTCATTGAAGGTTGGGGGCATGAAGAAAGCACAAGTTGAGTTTGAGCATTGCTTGTCAGGAGATGCCGGGTGCTGTTTGAGCGAGTCTTTCATTGTTTCAGATGTGACAAGCATTTTATTGTCCTTTGGCCGTATGTTGAAGACAGGTTGGAAGTTTGGTGAGCCTTCAGAAGATGAGCTAGAGTTGGTAGATAAGCTAGGACACGGTTCATGTGCAGGTGTCATGACATCACCTGACAATTTGGTCAAGATCCCTGTGTATATCAGGAAGAACAGCCTCAGTGTGTTGGCGAATGTCCGGCAGGTGACAGATTCAGGTGCTCGAAACTCAGTGGGGCATGTGAGAACAGTCTATGTCAAGTTGACATTTGATGACAAGCTGAAAGATGGTTGGTCGTTCATGGAGAATGGCAATCCTGTTCACAAGTGTCGAGGAAAATCATTTAGTGATCCTGGTACAGCACTTTCCAGAGCAGTTTGGAAATTCAGGACGACGGTGGTGCTACTGAGACAGGTTTGGGAGGTTGTGGAACATTCCAAAGAGTTGGCTTTGATGACAAGCTTGGATGAAGACATCCCTGGAATTCTTCTGGATACAACAGTGTTGACATTTCCACAACGCCATATTTCTCCTTTGAGCGATTGCATCTGTGAGTTGATCCAAGATGAACAGCTGCCTGGATTGTTTGACGAGATTGAGAGAAAGGAAGGAAAAGGAGTTGACATTTTTCCATCTGAACCTGTTGTGCCAGCCGAACTCCATGATGCACCGATGATTGAACGAGGCACAGCAGGAGGGCGCGAAGAACAACCTGAATCTGTTTGGGTGAACGGGAAAGAGCTTTCAAGGGAGAGCAGAGTTCGTGATTTGCAAGACGGTTGTAATTATCTTGGGATCAATGCTAGCGGGTCCAAGGCAAAGCTCTATGACAGATTGTGTGCGTATTTTAGCAAACAATATCAGAAAGACATTGACAGAGCAGCAACACATCTACAGAAGCTTGAGAGGGGACCCGAGGTTCGAGTACAGGAGAACAAGGCCGAGAGGCCATCTGATCCAAAAGAAATCGAAAGGCATGAAGTTACGCATTTGCCATTTGCTGCTTGGTGCGAGGCATGTCTGAAAACGAAATCAAGAGAAGACCGGACGATCCAGAGCACAGATGCAGAAGTTGAAGATCCTGCAGTGCCTCACATCCAGATGGATTGGATGTACCTGGGTAGGAGCTGCCCATCGTTGATTCTTCTGGACACCACATCAAGGTATGGAGCAACTTTTCCTGCCAGGACAAAGGGAGTGTGGCGTGCCCTAGCAGAGTTTTGTGTGAAGTTTTCATTGGGGCTGAACTACCTTGGGGAGGTGGTGTATGTCATGGACTCAGAGCCTGCAACCCTAGGTTTGCTTGATATGATTGTAATGATCAGACAGGCAATGGGCTACAAGACTTTGAAGAAAGCCGGAAAGCCGTACCACAAAGGGCGTACAGCCCAAGTGGAGAGATACATCCAGACAGTGAGGAGGCAGGCTTGTACATTGATGGCTTGTGTGGAAGACAATATCCATGAAGTGTTGGACGATCACCACTGTTTACGAGCCTGGGCATTGGTGCATTCAGTATTCCTGTTGAACAGATTTCACGAACATGCAGCAATCAGAGCAACTGCATTCGAGACCGTGTTTGGACAAAAGTACTCTGGAAAATTGGTCCCGTTTGGTGAGTTCGTGTTTGGTCTTCGACAGCCGATGAAGAAACGTGGCACCAGCGTTTGGCAAGGAGGAGTATGGATTGGCAAAGATGAGAATGACATGCATGTACTCCTTACTGCTGGTGGACAATTCCACACCAGG